TAGCCTTACACATTTGGATGTCCCTACACATGTTAAAACAGACCTTGATGGGAAAACAAATTGATTGTGCCGATAAACAAGCTTGAAAATCTTTGCTGTTACTTCATGGACGTTTTCTAGGAGTTTATGTTTTTCAAAATACAAGGTCTTTAACAAAAAATAACGTATACTTATTGTCGTCGGATTAACACCAAATTTTCACAGCTTTAAGGTGACAATGAGAGGAACTTGAATGTGTCCAGACAAACTATTTCATCGATTATTTACCAACGAGTTGTGGTTTGAGTTGGGGGCAATGCGACTAAAACAGTAATTGAAATTCAGCACACTATTTTTTAAAACGCGTTGCTTGAATAAAACTGACCAGACACATTCAATTTACCAGACCATTGAACAACTAGGAAAAGTGAAAAAAATACTTCTTACCGCCAGCATAAATGCGTAATTATTTTTTTTACAGAAAAAGTAATTTTTCACCTTTGATTGAGTAACGCGTCGTAGAATGCAGATACGGGCATGCAAAATACACTTGTGAAAAGCTTGAAGTCTGGCGATTCTAAAAATATATACTTTCCCGGGTCTATTTGTAGTCATTCAGTCACAATTAGAAGATGAAAACAAGTATGCAAATAATAGTCCCGCTACCTTAATGAGTCAACATTGAATTTCTACTAAGATAAATTTGTATCAGAAATATGAACAAGTCAAAGACATTAACGTCCATGTTTATAATATGTCAACCTTTGAAACAAGAATGCTGTTCAGCCATTAAGGTGGGAATATTTTTATATGGTGTTTATAAAAAGGCAACAAAAGATTATTAACTAAACAATTACATGTGTACAGAATAAAGTAGAAACTAACACTAACCATACTGTGCCTGCAGATCTTCAAACTGTCTCTGTGAAATTGAGTATTTGTCTTGAATTTCTTTTAATTCCTTCATAAATGTTTCCCTCAGGGCCTCCATTTCTTTCTGAAAGATAAAATTAAATTGGGGATGAATGAACAAACAATATGAGCAATTACTGTAAGCCTTGTTCACACGTTGGTATAACGCAATAATTAGGGAAATTGACTTTCATGATCAGCTGCCCACTAAGCAGTGCAAGTTTGTGGGTTTACTCACATTAACCAGCAGCTTGTTTTCATCCCTTCTTTATACAAATTTATGTAGACAGTTGATGAAGTTAAAGAAAAAATTCAGACTTTTGTCAATGAAATATAAATTCACCTTTTGAATCTCTAACTGCTCTTGTTTCCATTTTTCCATTTCCATTTTCTGTTTCTCATCTTTCCTGTTTTGTTCCTAAAAAATATCAAATACAACACGTTTCCTTAGTTGTGCATTGTATGCATACATCAGTGTATGTTGTAGAAGCATTGTCACTACTGTCATTTTGACAGTTGGTTTTTTTAAGCAGGAAGTCGAATCAAACATACTTTTGCTGCTAATTGTTCCTGGAAGTTCTTCTTTTGATCATTCATTTGAGATTGTGCATGTTTCAAGTTCTGTCTGAGTTCTTCAATTTCTTTCTCTAGCTTTTCATTTGCTTTGGCTGCTTGGTTCTGTAGTTGTAGAGTTGCTGATGGCAGCACAAACTCAGGGTGTCTCCGTTGCATATGAGCTTGTAAAAAGGATCCATTGATAAATGCTTTTTGACAATACTGACACTATAATAGAAATAAACAAGTCATTGTTATTTGGTATAGTGACAATTATAAATGAGTAAAATTATTTTACTAATTATGCATCTACATGGATAGATTTTTACCCAAAACTAATCAGATCTGTACATTGTCCCAGAGCATCTATGTATCAAGTTTCAACCAAAACCAACATACATGTACGGTTCTTAAGATATCAGCGGACACACACACACATACATACATACATACATACAGCATACTAACTGCAAAGAATCACATTGCGTGCTTCGCACATGGTAGTCAAAAACCCTACTTATTTACTTACCCAATAGCCTGTTACTGAAATCACAAACTTTATTTTTCTATGCCTAGTGTGTTTCTCAAGATATTTGATTTTACATTATACATGTACGTGTACGTGTAGAATAATATGAGAAATGTTTCTCTTTCTGATTCAAAAAGGCTTATTCAACACAAGATTCTGAGTTTTGAATTCAAAATGAAAAAGTTCCTGCAGTTTTCATAGTGGACGTTGTATATTCTTTAGTCTGGTCACATGTTCAAAGTATGAACAGTTTATATAAATACCTGACTGGTGAAAACAATGCCAACTATAGCCTGTAGGTATGATGCTTTCATATAAATACCTGACTGGTGAAAATAATGTCAACTATAGCCTGTAGGTATGATGCTTTCATATAAATACCTGACTGGTGAAAACAATGCCAACTATAGCCTGCAAGTATGATACTTTCATATAAATACCTGACTGGTGAAAATAATGTCAACTACAGCCTGTAGGTATGATGCTTTCATATAAATACCTGACTGGTGAAAACAATGCCAACTATAGCCTGCAAGTATGATACTTTCATATAAATACCTGACTGGTGAAAATAATGTCAACTACAGCCTGTAGGTATGATGCTTTCATATAAATACCTGACTGGTGAAAACAATGCCAACTATAGCCTGCAAGTATGATACTTTCATATAAATACCTGACTGGTGAAAATAATGTCAACTATAGCCTGCAAGTATGATACTTTCATATAAATACCTGACTGGTGAAAATAATGTCAACTATAGCCTGTAGGTATGATGCTTCCATATGAATACCTGACTGGTGAAAACAATGCCAACTATAGCCTGTAGGTATGATGCTTTCATATAAATACCTGACTGGTGAAAACAATGCCAACTATAGCCTGTAGGTATGATGCTTTCATATAAATACCTGACTGGTGAAAACAATGCCAACTATAGCCTGCAAGTATGATGCTTTCATATAAATACCTGACTTGTGCAAACAATGCCAACTACAGCCTGTAGGTATGATGCTTTCATATAAATACTTGACTGGTGAAAACAATGCCAACTACAGCCTGTAGGTATGATGCTTTCATATAAATACTTGACTGGTGAAAACAATGCCAACTATAGCCTGTAGGTATGATGCTTTCATATAAATACCTGACTGGTGAAAACAATGCCAACTATAGCCTGTAGGTATGATGCTTTCATATAAATACCTGACTGGTGAAAACAATGCCAACTATAGCCTGTAGGTATGATGCTTTCATATAAATACCTGACTTGTGCAAACAATGCCAATTACAGCCTGTAGGTATGATGCTTTCATATAAATACTTGACTGGTGAAAACAATGCCAACTATAGCCTGTAGCTATGATGCTTTCATATGAATACCTGACTGCAAAGAATCACATTGCGTGCTTCGCACATGGGAGTCAAAAACCCTACTTATTTACTTACCCAATAGCCTGTTACTGAAATCACAAAATTTATTTTTCTATGCCTAATGTGTTTCTCAAGATATTTGATTTTACATTATACGTGTAGAATAATACGAGAAATGTTTCTCTTTCTGATTCAAAAAGGCTAATTCAACAAAAGATTCTGAGTTTTGAATTCAAAATGAAAAAGTTCCTGCAGTTTTCATAGTGGACGTTGTATATTCTTTAGTCTGGTCACATGTTCAAAATATGAACAGTTTATTCACTCACAAATGATAAAGAGATAAAGTACTCAGTCGAATATATAGTAAATTAGCTTAGTCAAATCATCCAGTTGCTCATGAATGTATTTCTGTCTGTCTAATTGATGTGTGGCTGGCACAGTAGGTTATCTAGTTATCAGATTGTAAGGTTAGGTAAAACACATCTGTACTGGCCATATTGTGACTTGTTACCTTGTGATAGTTATTAGCACCAGCATGAATAAGTGACTGCTGGGCTTCCAACATTTTTTTTCTCTTTCGATTTTCCTTTTTCAGGTTCTTCATTTCTTCAGTCTGTTTACTGAAAGTGATCTTGGTAGCCTCATGTTCCTGCATAGCATTATGTAGTTTATCTTCCAGTACACTGATTGTATTGGCTAGGTATTCTTGAGAATGCTAAAAATAAACATCAACAAAATTACAGTACATGTAAGTACTTCCCTACCTACACATGATGAAAACAATGCCAACTACAGCCTGTAAGTGTGAAGCTTTCATATGAATACATGACTAG